GTTGATTCCAGTGGAGGGGTGCAAGGAGGGAGAAGGAGCGAAAAGGGTATTGGGCACAGGGAGAAGGAGGGACAGAGAGAGAGAGAGAAGATTGGGAACGTGGAGGATTATGGGAGGCATTGCGTAGAATTGGGGGCATCACTGATTAAAACTTGATTTATGGAACCATAATGGAAATGTTTAATTTCTGTAATGGCCTGCAAATGCAACACAATGCATCGTGGGGAACAAAAGGCATCTCTAAATCAGCTGAGAGATGCAATGTGCGGTGCGCGTGTGGGCGGTGGATCGCGAAGACACATTGATTACTGATTACCACAGTAATTGCATTGCAGCTTATGTGTTATTTTATACCACTTCATCATCATCACCATCACCATTAGCAGCCTCATAGCACGCGATTCTAAACACGAGCCTGAATGAGCAACTAGCGAAACGCATCTGGGGTTTGTTTGCCCTTTGGTTTAATGTGCATCTGGCAAGTGCACTGCTGTTGCTGTTGTTGTTATTATTATTTACCCAGGCAAGCCTCACTTGAATCTCAAAATGAGTTTTTTTTCAGGAGGCTCCTGCCAAGTTTTCAGTCGCTGCGTGTAATCGCAACTGAAAAGAAATGTACGTGTAATTAGGTGATTTATAATATAAGTTTTTGGGGTTAGATCGCGTAAATATAAATGTGCCGTTCAACCCGACACAGCCAATTAATCAGGGCTGTCACGTAAACAAAACATGCCAATTCGTTACTAGTACAACACGCCGGTGTGTTGGAGAGTAAACCCACGACATTTACAACTCGAGTTCTAACCCAAAAACCTCTTTTATGGATAATATTGGTCGCGAAAGCCTACGTTTTAATTGGGTATTTGTTTCCAACATTGGGTCGTTTGGTCAGAACATGGAGTGTGTGTACATCATTAGACCTCCTTTGCCAGTACCAAAATATAATAATAGGGTTTTTCCCCTTTTTTCTGGCAACAAATCTGAAACCTTTTTACGAGGAATCATGCGTGCATTAACCACAATACTTGTGGTCAAAATGCAAACAAAAAACACACTGATAATATATGCATTGTCCTTGAAACTGATTGGTCCACACTAGAGACGGTACTGGCAAAGGAGGTCTAATGATGTAGATGCTTGCCCCGAGCCCTCATTACTTTGATAGTGCATTGTCTTTGAGCTGTTCGCCTTTTGGCATCCTCTGGTCTAGCACCAATTGAGACGAGGCTCTAAAGAAAGCCGTCTCTGGTGTGGACCAATCAGTTTCAAGGACAATGCATCATATTATCAGTGTGTTTTTGTGTTTTTTTTTTGCATTTTGACCGCAAGTATTGTGGTTAATGCACGCATGATTCCTCGTAAAAAAAGGTATTGGTTTTGTTGCCAGAAAAAAAGAGGAAACCCCCTATTATTATGGAGTGTGTGCTTAGCTACGGGGGGGGGGGGAAACCGAAGAACCCAGAGGAAGCTAATGCAGAACCGGGGATAAACATGCAACCTCCCACACAGAATAGGGGCCGTGTCGGGGGACCGAACCGAGCTCCTGGATGGGCAATCACACGCAGAAGAAGAAGATGAAGTTGAGCAGCGTTGCTCTGCTCGGAGCTGGAGGACAGCCGCTTTAACTTCGGGCTGATTTCGCGATCAGGCGTCCAATGAAGGAAGGTGACGAGCCAGAGTCGTTCGACTCCTGCAGGCCGCCCTAGTTATCACCGCGAAGTGTACGAGCCGCACAAACACTACGCGGATGTCTGCTCCGCTCGCAGCGGATTGCAAAGGGTCCCTCCCGAGACGTCGTTCGAAGACAGAGAAGTGCCGTCGCGTGCTGGCGCCACGGCCCAAATTTTCCACGTTTTAAAAAAAACACAAACGAATTAAAATAAAATAAAAATTCCCGTGCGAATTACACGACCGTGAGCTCGCCTGCAGATCGCGTCCGTGAGACGCAGCAAGGGGGGCCTCTTCTTCCCTTGCCATGATAGTCCTGAGCTACGGGAACGAGAGCGCGAGTACCCAAGGTACTCAACTGTTGTTGTTGTTGATATTAGTGAAGTCCTCGTGGGTTATTTTGATGGGGGGGGGGGGGGGGGGTGTGTGGGTAATGACGACACAACGCGTGGGAGAGCGCTCCCCCCCACCCCCTCCTTGTCTCTCTCTGCCAGCCCCGCCCTGCGTGTCGTCACTCAGCCTCTTGTTCAAAAAAAGAAACAAAGCACGAGTTAAATAAATAAATAAACGGGCGCGTGCGTCTCCTGCCAGAGCTCAGACGAACATCAATCAATGCTCGGGGCATCGGCCTGCCTTGCATCGCCTTGCAGAGTGAGATTTTTTTTTTGCGTTTGTTATTCCACTTATTTACCCAAGACGGTCCTCGCCCAGTCTCGAGACTCTTTCTCCCGAGTGGCATGGGAAGTGTTTGCTTTGTGGTAAGGGGGCGATGCTGTGGTGGTGGTTGTTGTTGTTGCTGCTGCTGCTGCTGTTGTGTATACTTCCAATTTAGTTTTTTTTTCCTCTGCGGGCAATTGTTTTTCAGCAATTGGGATGATGTTTTGTTGGCCAATGCCGCTTACACTGCGCGCGCGTTTGGCTATGGGAGGCAACTGCAGGCGGAGCAGGCAGTGGGAGAACTATAAACTGGAATTCTATCTTTCATATATTTGTGTTTTTTTAACCAGGTAAGGCCCACTGAGCTATGTAGCTCTTTCTCATAAGCGACCCGGCCGCAAATGATAGCTGATCGAAGTGGCTCATCGTCACGTGGGAATTTGCTGCAGCCACATTGCGCTGAACGCACGTTTCTAAACGCGGAGAGGACCCGGAGGGAAAGAAAAAAAACATCCACGCGGCCACGGCGAGAACCCGCGACTTCCTGTATACCAGGCGAGGTAGTTAACATCTCATAGCCACCCTGGAGCCCCCATGGCTCCCTGCCAGCAGACTCCATGAATCTGTGAAACACGACAGAGAGGCCCCAGGTCCTGGGCAATGTCAGCACCGCGCTAACACCGAACGCGCAGAATTAATCCGAGCAGTGGTTCTTAACCTTTCTACTGCAGCCTTGCACCCCCTTTTGGTTCTCAATCGTAAATAAACAAAAAAATGTAGAATTATTGAATCAACACGTGGGGTTTTTATGAAACGAAGTAGTTGTTCTTACGTGCCCGCGCTTAATTTGTGCTTTAGATTATTTACATTCTTAAATACGTATATAGCCACGTCTCGCTACACCCCCCAGAGGGGGTGCGTGCACCCCAGGTCAAGAACCGCTGGTTCGGAGGAACAGTGCGGGTTTGACACGCGACGCGCACCGGTGATGGCCTTGCGCGTGCCTAGCGGGCCGTACATCCAGGTGAGCGGCAGCTTAATTATGAATCTTTCTCTCTCTCTCTCTCTTGCTCTCTCTCTCTATCTCTCTCTTTCTCTCTCTCTTTCTCTCTCTCTTTCTCTCTCTCTTTCTCTCTCTCTTTCTATCTCTCTCTCTTTCTATCTCTCTCTTTCTCTCTCTCTTTCTCTCTCTCTTTCTCTCTATCTCTCTCTCTCTTGCTCTCTCTCTTTCTCTCTCGCTCTGTCGGGCGCGCGCGGCGCGTGATTAGCCCAATTGCGCAGCGGAGCCCATTAAGCGACGCGCCGCATCGATCGTCGTTCGGGGGGCACGCGACACCGAGGAAACACTTTCCCTAACATTGATCCGGCGACCTAATGGGTGAAGTATGGATTGTTTTGCCGCCCCCCCCCAACTCCCGCCCCGTAATAAATTGCCGGTGTTGTAAGGTTAATGCTTATTACTCGCCGGTGGCATTACGAACCGGTAGCCTGCGAGGGCCAACCCGGGAAGCCTTTATTATTTATTTAAATAAATATATTATGGGGTGGCCTGCATTCATTATGCACACGGGCATACCATTCACAGTTTGTTATTTCTCTCGCAACTGCTGCTCTGTTATTGTGATGGCCAGGGCAACTCGCATTGGGATGGGCAATGTGCTCCAGGTGCACAGGTCGGATAAGTTCGACCAACCGATCACGGTCACCGCCACTCTATCAACACGGTCATCACGATGACCCTCACCTCCCCTGGGTGTGCTCGGTACAACGCGCCCGTGAGTTAGGTGCACGCTGGACCACGGTTGAGCGATCGTTCAAAGTGGCAGCCGCGTGAAGGAACGCGCCCCGCGGGGTCAGAATTCGATGGCGCGACCCCCCGGTGACCCGAGTTCAATGCCCGCTCGCGGCCCAACATTCATCGACGGTGTTCTGAAACTGGTTGCTGGGACTCTCCTAGCTCGGCTCAGCCTCATGTTTGGTACCTCGCCACTGGGGAGACAAAGGCGGTCGGGCGTGGTGCTCGCCACCCACCACACCACCTCGTGCCCCATTCGCCGGCCTTCATGGACGCTGTTCGCTAACAGCACTTGCCCCAACAGCCTGCTGAGGCTTTCCAGGGGGAGGGGGGTCTTTGTCTGTGTGTGTGTCTATATTCTCGCGGACAATCGCGATGTGAGAGATGGTGTTCATTAACGGAGATTTTTTTTTATTACACCACGGTCAACACAGCCAGCAGTTTAAGCCGGGGGTTCGGGCCGGGTTTGTCTCTGCGTCGTGGGGGGGCTCTGGAGGGGGTCAGTGGGGGAGGGGGACCTCCCAAATCGCCTGCAGTGCGGTTATGCGCTCACCTTACACGGTGACGATCGCCGTCACAAGCATCCATCCAGTGAGGGAGAGGGAGCGGGGAACTGTGGGGGTGGTGGTGGTGGTGGTAGGGTCCTTTGGGAGAGGCTCCTTCTCCTGAAATCCGGGCGTCCGCGGACTGAATTCGAGTGTCCGTGATGGTGAGAGCCGGCGAGATTCGTGCGCGCGCTTCTGTCAGACTTAGACGGATGTTATTGATGTTGTTATTGTCGTCGTTATAGGTGCTCGCGAACGGCGCTTGCCCCCCAACATTCTGTCCACGCTTCACGTGGGATCGTCGCCTCTCCGTTGTCTTTCGCGTGCTGCCACAGAACGCGTGATCGCGCGGCGAGAGGCGCAGAGCTCCGAGTCTCAACTCGCCGCCGAACATCGGCAGCTTCAGCAGCCGCAGCGGCTACTCCTGCCGCCGACGCAACCCGAGGCGGCCCTGGCGGCTGCGGCAGCTGCGGCCTCCGCACCCGCCCAGCCGCCTGCTGACGACAACAACGACGTGGTGATCGTGTACAACCGCGTGCCGAAAACGGGCAGCACTTCCTTCACCAACGTGGCGTACGACCTGTGCGGGCGCAACTCGTTCCACGTGCTGCACATCAACACCACGCGCAACAGCCCCATCATGTCTCTGCACGACCAGGTGTCTCACCTGTCACGCGGCGCAGCACCGACGCCTCTTCTTTCCACTGCCGCAACAGAGCCGAGCCGGCCTCGGCGCGGCTCGGCAGTTGGCGGGGTTGTTTTAGTTTTTTTTTTTCCTTATCCACCGCACACCCAGCAGCTCCATCCCACCGCTCCTCGTCTGGCATTCACTCGTTATTGAACTGCAGAGAGGCCTTAGCCCAGGAGCCTTACAAGAGGCATGGGGGACTCAAGGGCACGTCGAGGTTATGGATCCGCACACACAGTAATGCGGTTACAGCACAGAGCCGTGCTGCGTTCACCTTTCGCGAGTGACCATCGATCGCGCTCCATCTTGGACACGCGCGCGCGTGCGTGGCGCGTGCCTGTTTCAACAAAACAACATTTCCTCCCAATTGTATCCGGATCGTGCCATCGGTGTCATGACACGAGATGGACGATTCACATTGCATCTCGTGTTAGGAAACGGCCCGTGGAAGCGGACATCACAGAGCTACTTGTGAGATCTCATTTCGTATGACCCCTGGTCCACACGCTAGGGGTCAGCACTTTCTCACCCCCTGTGCCACCGAGAGTGATGTCTGTGGAATGATTCGTCGAGTGACAGCCAACACCCGCCGTTCAATTTCACAATTTGAATTTAGCCAAATAAATTCCAGAGCCGAATTAAATGCCATATTGTGTGCAGTCATGGGTGCCCAAGCTTCGGCAAAATCAACTCGTTACACTTGAGCACCCATGGTGTAATTTGATGATCGGCAATTTCATAACAGCTCCGTCTCTGTAAGTGGATGGGTCTCTGTGTGAGTTTATGGGTCTCTATGTGAATCTATGGGTCTCTATGAGGCTTTATCACAGGCATCAGCTGCCTGGATTCGAACCCAGGTTGGCAGCACTCTGAGCCACCTGGCCACCTCACCAGTATCATTAATATTACACTCGTTTACCCCGGGAAGCCTCACTGAATATCAAGACTCGTTGGTGCGTCCGTGCGCGTGCGCGGGTTTTCCGTATCCAGTTTGAATTCCATTTGCCGTGGCAATCAAACCAACGAACGAACGATCGACGAACGACTAAACGAGAGCCTCTCGCGCATCTCACAAGGCGAGAAACCATGAAGGGCATTGACAGCGCGTCCACTAAGAGACGCGTGTCAATCGCGATTTGCCGCTGATTAACGGGTGGAATAGGGCAGTGCCTTCCCAGCCCTCGAATCGATGAATAATGAATAGGGCAATTTTTTTTATTCTCGCGAGTTGCAAAGACGGGAGAGTGGCTCGGATGCGAGAAACTCTCAAAACAAACGAGACGCCCATCAGCCCCGAGATTCTCTATTGCGCCGGATGCATATGAAATACTCCACCGAATTAACTCAATGATCCTACCCTCGTGAACAAGTCGAACGCCGCGTGTGTTTGCACGCGCGCGCTGCTGAACAACACAAAGGCAAATATCCCCCGTATAGCCTTAACAGATTGTTGGGGCAAGTGCTGGTAGCGAGCACCTATGAAAACCGGCACGGCACAAGAGGGGGTGGGTGGCCAGCACCACGTCCGGTCGCCTTTGTCTCCCCAGTGAGCGATGTTTACACACCGCACCAGGTACCCATTTGAGGCTGAGTCGACCTAGGAGAGGCCCGGGACCGGTTCAGATAATCATCACCGGTGTTGGCCGTGAGCGGGAATCGAACTCGGGACGCCGGGTTCATAGCGCAGCGTAGCGCTAACCGCGACACTACCGCTCCACCCAGAGACACATACACACGCAGATACACACACACGCAGATACACACACACGCAGACACACACACACGCAGACACACACACACGCAGACACACACACACGCAGACACACACACACACGCAGACACACACACGCAGATACACACACACGCAGACACACACACACGAACACACACACGCAGATACACACACACACGCATACACACACACGCAGACACACACACGCAGACACACACACGCAGATACACACGCAGACACACATGCAGACACACACGCAGATACACACACACGCAGACACACACACACGCAGACACACACACACGCAGACACACGCAGACACACACACACGCAGATACACACACACGCAGACACACACGCAGATACACATGCAGACACACACGCAGACACACACACACGCAGATACACACACACGCAGACACACACGGGCGCGCTTTTGCGTGCGTTTGTGGCTACCTCTGAACGAGGGGAATGTGCGCGCCGTACGTCCTGAAGCCGATAAGCGCAACCGCAAGACAATTACCATGTAAGTGCTCTTACATCTATGTACATCATCGTATAATTCAGATGACAAAGCTCTCGCTGCACGGGGCAAAAAGCTCGGGAACATTGTCAAATGCTCTGGCGGCTGATCTCACTTCATCGGAGGCTTATTTCCGTCACCAGAGTGCGCGACCACGTGCCCTCGAAAACACCACAAGCGCTTTGCGCCTGGAACAATCGTGCGATAGATGCCACCCTTGACGCGTTCCTCTGTGGTTGCCCAGTTGCGCTGTGACCCCGCTCCAAGATATATCGGAGCTGTCATGGACAGAAAACTGTGGCATTCAAGCCCTTCCATGAAAAAACAAACTGATCTTGTGGGAAAAAGCCAAATCAAGAATCGTCTTGTTGTAGGAACGCATCAGCTGATGCGCAAGGAACTGCCACCCTCTCACTACTCCGTGGCAGAGTCGCAAAACCGCGCGATGCACCATTGAATAACGCCATGTGGCATCGTCACCAGAACATTCGCCACCGACACCAATGCCCCGGCTGCCCGTTCTGCCGAACATTCTGCCACCAGATATCCGCAGAGACGTCGCGCAAACTGCAGATAGAGTTCACACGGTTTTCTCGCCAATGACAGCCACCTGGCTGCTTCCCCTGCTGGGGATCGCCCTATCGCCTTTTTACCCCCGATCCGGAAGGACGCTGATCGCGAACGAGAGTGGGACAACGCGTTGAGTCCGAAAAGAAACTCCTCATTCGAGACCCAAACATCGCACCTCCTCCTGCCTTTCACATTGCTCCTCCGCGAAGACACCGGTGGTGGAGCCGTCGGTCGCGTCTTGAACATCAACATACACAAAGCCACAGCAGTGCGAATGTGGCCACGTAGCCCATGCTATGAAACCACATGGTACACCGCTGTAGTCTGTGCTCCAGAGAAAGAAAAACGCTACACGGACTTATGCGAGGAAATGCTCGCGATATTTAGAATGCATAAAATCTCCGGCGATCCGAATGCAAATTGTTGAGAATGCATCCGGAGAGGACGTCACTCAGGTGACGCGGCTCCGCCATTGTCTTGCCAGGAGTCGTGTCACGTGCCAATGATTGACATCACTTTTGTGAGCCCCACCCCCCGAAAAAAAAACAAATCATGAATACACAACACCGCGTGCACGAACCGAAAATCTGAAAAAGGAAATAAATAACTAAAAAATATGTTCCTACAAATCCCCAAACCTAATTGTTTACCCATAACATCCTTAATGACATGGATGATATTGGTCGCGAAAGCCTAAGTGGTTAAACTAAATGTTTTACACCTGAAGCTCACTCCTAGTGCTCGTACATACACTTATCAGAGTCAAAATATTTATTAATGCTGGAGGATCCCGATGAGCTATGAAGCTCTTTTTCTCAGATTTCCAGCAGGTGTTCACAGATGCCCAGTGGGACATCTCTACTCATCGCCCACCTGGATATCACCGAACTTCGCTTGGATTCAACCTTGCCTTAAAGCTTTCGTGACTGCAGGAATTCGTATTCTTGGGTCTTTCGATAAAGTCACGTAGGTAGGTTCAAAGTAAAAAAATGCTAAAATCTACGACGTTTAGATCGCAACAGAAGCGGTCGTCTTCAGGAAATTTTCAATTTTCTTTGAACCAATCTACGTGACTTTACCGAAAGACCCAAGAAAATGCGCTTGGATTATTCGACTGCTACTATAAATTCCCACGCGTGATCGTGATTACATCAGCCACTGGCGATGGCCTATCGCGTGTGGACCAGATTACCTCATGGGGGGAGGGAATAGATAATAGCTCAGTGGACTTTACCTGGTAAAGTGAAATCGCTTTCGTTTTATTTAGAGGAACAGGTGGGCTCTGCACGCCTCGGTGGACGGCTGTTCCTCTCACACTCCCTTAAACACTCACGCCCTTGTCCGGCATCGTTCATTTAAATCCCCGGACAATCTCCAGACAATTTACTCCGCCTTCCATTATTTTTCATTTCCTACGAAGCGAGCAAAGAGGGGGAGAGAAAGAGAGAGAGAGCGAGCGCGCGCGCTTGGAGAGCGGAGAATATTCTCCCGTAGGGAATTCTTGGAAGACGCCGTCTTAATGTGGATAGGCGAGGTCTGTGAGAATGCGTTTGTCTGTAACCCGTCCGCCCGCCCGCCCGTCCAGTGTCCCCCAGCCAAGGCTATTTAGAGACGGCATCTCATTTGTGCCTGGGCACTTGGGAACATTCTGGGATAGCGGTAGAGGGCCCTAAGTGCAATTCAGCCAATAGAGATTAATTGCGTCGTATTAATGCGCAGCGTGCGTATATAGATAGCAACTGTCGCGATATAGGGCCGCAGAGCTTGGGCAATTGTTGCCTTGGGCAATTTGTTGGCTTGGGCAATTGTTTCCTTGGGTAATTATTGCCTTGGGCAATTGTTGGCTTGGGCAATTGTTGGCTTGGGCAATTGTTGCCTTGGGCAATTGTTGCCTTGGGCAATTGTTGGCTTGGGCAATTGTTGCCTTGGGCAATTGTTGGCTTGGGCAATTGTTGGCTTGGGCAATTGTTGGTTCCGGTTGCATTCCTGTCGACTTGTCTTTGATTCCCCACACCTCCGACGCGACAACTGCGTGTGACAATTCCACGGCGTGCTGAGATGCAACTTAATAAATTACACCCTTTAATAATATATAACAAAAAAATTGCCATGATATATTTAGATGAATAGACGCATTGTTTTCTGCGTCCATGCCCACCGTCCACCTTTTCGCTTCGCGAACCGGAGAGACAATGATTGTTTTTCCAAGGTACCAAACCTTATTAACTTTATAATTTACTCGAGCCGACTCTCTCCGGAAGGCTCACTGAGTCTAATAATTCTCGCCCTTCGGGGTGACGGGCAATGGCATTAACGTGTTACAGGGCCAGCCGGCCCGTAAGGGCAGAGCCATATTCACAGAACTCCTCTGCAGTGTTTTTGTCGAAGTCTGCGGTGGAGTGAGTGACTCGCGGGGTCGACGGCGATGCTTGCTGTTGTCGCGGGTCCAATTCTTGACGCAAAACCAAAGCGATTTCCTGTCCGAATGATCATTGAGGCATTGATGCTGTTTAGAGCCCTGATCCAGTGGTGGTAATTCCACATTGCTATGGCAGGGGTGAGTCCTTTTTTAGGACAACCACTGTTGACTTCCCTACAAGTGGTACTTATTTTACTGACCCCTGAGGAATGATGGGCTGAGTCAACCCCCATGCAGGGGCTGAGTCAACCCCCATGAGCCACTTAGGCGGAAAAACACAAAAAACACAAAGATCACCCATATAGCCTTAACAAACTGTAGGGGCAAGTTCTGTTAGCGAGCACCTTTGAAGGCCAGAACAGCACACGAGGGGGTGGGTGGCCAGCACTATGCCTGACCGCCTTTGTCTCCCAAATGCTGATGTTTACACACCGAACCAGGTACTCATTTGAGGCTGAGTCAACCTAGAGGAAGCCAAGGAGCGGTTCAGATAATCGTCACCGGTGTTGGCCGTGAGCGGGAATCGAACCGGGGTGGCCGGGTTCATAGTGCAGCGCGCTAACCGCTACACCACCGCTCCCCACACACACACACACGCACGCCTACACACACACGAACACCTACACACACACAAAGACAACGATCCTCCTACATAGCCTTCACATACTTTTGTGGCAAGTGGGGGGATGCAGTGGCGCCATGGCACAGTGGCTAGCGCGCCACGCCACTAGGCTGGCGAGTCGAGTCTGATCCGCCGCGTTCACTGCCGACATCGGTGACACGTTCCTGAAATCGACCCTGGCCTCAAAATGAGTAGCTGGTGCGGTGTGTAAACATCAGCATTGGGGAGACAAAGGCGGTCGGGCGTGGAGGTGACCACCCGACCCGCTCGTGTGCTGTGTCGGCCTGCAAATAGGTGCTACTTGCCAACAACGCTTGCCCCCCGCAAGTCTGTCAAGGCTATACGGGGGATCTTTGTCGTTGTGTTTGTGCGTGGGTGGGAGTTGGGGCTGGGGTGTGACCGGCGTTGTTCTCTCTCGCAAGGCCAAGTTCGTGAGCAACGTCACGACGTGGAAAGAAATGAAGCCGGGCTTCTATCACGGCCATCTGTCCTTCATTGACTTCACCAAGTGAGTACAAGACTCCTCCTGCTCCTCCTCCCCCCCTCTCCTCCTCTCTCCCACTCTCCCACTCCTTCACAGCGCACACGGAAATAGCAACATCAGCAGCATGCTCACCACCACCACCATCATAATCATCATCACGTTTGCTGAAGAGCGTCCGTCGTTCGCACAGGTTGCGTATGATCAAGAAAGGGAAAACGCGCGCAGTGTCCGTGGGAAAATCCACAGGCACAGCGGGAAGGCGGCAATTGCCCGAGCTCTGTTGTCCTGTACATTGGCGTGTCTGGGCCAGCCGGGTTTGAATCGCCGCTCACGGCGCAAATCGGTGCCGGTTATCTGAACCGATCGTGCCCCTCCCCTGGATTCGACTCAGCCTCAAACGAGTGCCTGGTGTGGTGTGTTTGCATCGCCGCTAGAGAGACAAAGGCGGCCGGGCGTGGTTGCTGGCCACCCACCCACTCGTGTGCCGTGCTGGACTTCATCGGTTCTCCCTAACGGCACTTGCCCCAGCAGTCTGTTTAGGCTATACGGGGGTCTTTGTCTTTGTGGTTAGGGCACTGCAACTATGAACGCGGCGACCAGAGTTCGATTGCTGGCCACGGCGGACATCCGTGGCGATAATCATGAGTGGAGGAATCAGCGAACATGATCTCGATGGTCATGCCAATTTCATTCTCATACGGCGACGCTGTGACGTCACCACCATTATCCTCACGTCACAATGTGGGCGTCAAACGGGGTCGTGTCAGCAGACTTGTTAGCTCGTTAAACGCCTCCGCCCGTGACAAGTTTCATTTGTTCGCTTGTGTCGGGTGGCGGAGGGTCTTGCGACACAACATTCGGCCGGATCGTTGCGTGATCGATGAATATTGTCTCACGAAGATTTAGTGATGGGGGAGGTGATGGGGGTTTGGCTCTAGTGATAGGGGTAGTGATAGGGGTTGAACTAATGATAGGGCTAGTGACATGGGTAGTAATAGGGGTAGTGATAGGGGTTGAGGTAGTGATAGGGGTAGTGATAGTGGTAGTGATAGGGGTAGTAATATAGTTTGAGGTAGTAATAGGGGTAGTGAATGAGGTAAGGGTTGCGATAGGGGTAGGGGCAGTGATAGGGGTTAGGATAGAAGCAGTAGCAGGATGGGCTAGGGGAGAAGAGATGGGAGTTGTGTTAAGGGTTGAATGAAAGCAGCTGAGTGAAGATGGTTGTGGATGATGATGATGATTACGATCATGCAATCGTTGCCCACGATGATCATGACGACGATGCATTTAATCACGGCACCGCGGTGTTTGTGCCGTGGGTTGCGGATGCCCATGCCCGCAGGTTCGGCGTCAACAGGAAGCCAATCTACATCAACGTGGTGCGCGATCCTATCGAGCGTCTTATCTCCTACTACTACTTCCTGCGCTTCGGGGACGACTACAGACCGGGCCTGCGGCGGCGCAAGCAAGGCGACAAGAAGGTGAGAGGGAGCGACGCGTCTCGGTTTTCAAAAGTCTGGGGTTCCCAGCCGCGCCGTGGTCAAGCGGTAGTCCTCGAGTGCCCGGTGGTGAACGAGGCGATGAGCTCATCTCCCGTTGAAGTCCCCGAGGCGGTGGTGGAAGTGCCCTCATTCCTCTGGCGACAATGAGTAAATAAATACCCCAGCGATACATGGGGTAACGAGTGACGGTCATCGCGTTGTGCGGGCTCAGAAGGCCACGCTTCTTATCGCAACAACAGAAAAAAAAACAAATTCCGAGGACGAACGCGCGTTGGAGGTCGCCGCCAGGACCCATGCGTATTCATCGTTTTTCTTCCACGTTTTTTTTTTCCGTGGCGACGCGCTGGGAGGGGTGATTGGGTGTTGCTGCTCCTGCCTTGTGCATCCTCCTCCTCCTCCTCCACCTCCTCATCCTCCTCCTCCTCCACCTCCTCATCCTCCTCCACCTCCTCCCGCAGACGTTTGACGAGTGCGTGCGCGAGGGCGGCTCTGACTGCTCGGCGGAAAAACTCTGGCTCCAGATTCCCTTCTTCTGTGGCCACAGCTCGGAGTGCTGGTGAGCCCCGCAACGCACGAACCACACCCCCCCCCGAGCATCAAACTCCCGAGCGCCAGTGCCGGATGAAGCTCGTGCGGGGCCTGTAGCATATGTTGTTATAAAGGGGCCCTAAATTACATGAAACATTAATATTAAAACACACGCATTTTTTTACTTGCATGGTAAAGTTATTGTAGCTTTTTCATTTGCTATACTGCCAGATAATACGAAGAATCGCTAACCTTAAACACCCAGTCGTTCATAAAAGTTGAAGGCGGTATAGTACTATAGTAATAGAGCAAGTGCAGAAGCACTGAACTGGAATTGATAGCTTGAAAGCGTTTAGCGCGGGGCCCTTGAAAGTGCGGGGCCCGTAGCATTATGTAGCTACTTGTGCTACTAGGATGCCGGATGATCCTAGTAACACAAGTAGCTACTACATATGTAGCTACTGCATATATAGCTACTACATTTATAGTAGCTACATATGTAGTAGCAGCTACATATGTAGTAGCTACTACTAACTACTACTACATATGTAGTAGCTACTACATACAGTGAGGGGAAAAAAGTATTTGATCCCCTGCTGATTTTGTACGTTTGCCCATTGACAAAGAAATGATCGGTCTATAATTTTAATGGTAGGTTTATTTGAAAAGTGAGAGACAGAATAACAACAACAAAATCCAGAAAAACGCATGTCAAAAATTTTATAAATTAATTTGCATTTTAATGAGGGAAATAAGTATTTGTCCCCCTCTCAATCAGACAGATTTCTGGCTCCCAGGTGTCTTTTATACAGGTAACGAGCTGAGATTATGAGCACACTCTTAAAGGGAGTGCTCCTAATCTCAGCTTGTTACCTGTATAAAAGACACCAGTCCACAGAAGCAATCAATCAGATTCCAAACTCTCCACCATGGCCAAGACCAAAGAGCTCTCCAAGGATGTCAGGGACAAAATTGTAGACCTACACAGGCTGGAATGGGCTACAAGACCATTGCCAAGCAGCTTGGTGAGAAGGTGACAACAGTTGGTGCGATTATTCGCAAATGGAAGAAACACAAAAGAACTGTCAATCTCCCTTGGCCTGGGGCTCCATGCAAGTTCTCACCTCGTGGAGTTGCAATGATCATGAGAACGGTGAGGAATCGGCCCGGAACTACACGGGAGAGTCTTGACAATGATCTCAAGGCAGTTGGGACCATAGTCACCAAGAAAACAATTGGTAACATACTACGCCGTGAAGGACTGAAATCCTGCTGAGCCCGCAAGGTCCCCCTACTCAAGAAAGCACATATACATGCCCGTATGAAGTTTGCCAATGAACATCCGAATGATTCAGAGGACAACTGGGTGAAAGTGTTGTGGTCAGATAAGACCAAAATGGAGCTCTTTGGCATCAACTCAACTCGCCGTGTTTGGAGGAGGAGGAATGCTGCCTATGACCCCAAGAACACCATCCCCACCGTCAACCATGGAGGTGGAAACATTATGCTTTGGGGGTGTTTTTCTGCTAAGGGAACAGGACAACTTCACCGCATCAAAGGGACGATGGACGGGGCCATGTACCGTCAAATCTTGGGTGAGAACCTCCTTCCCTCAGCCAGGGCATTGAAAATGGGTCGTGGATGGGTATTCCAGCATGACAATGACCCAAAACACACGGCCAAGGCAACAAAGGAGTGGCTCAAAAAGAAGCACATTAAGGTCCTGGAGTGGCCTAGCCAGTCTCCAGACCTTAATCCCATAGAAAATCTGTGGAGGGTGCTGAAGGTTCGAGTTGCCAAACGTCAGCCTCGAAACCTTAATGACTTGGAGAAGATCTGCAAAGAGGAGTGGGACACAATCCCTCCTGAGATGTGTGCAAGCCTGGTGGCCAACTACAAGAAACATCTGACCTCTGTGATTGCAAACAAGGGTTTTGCCACCAAGTACTAAGTCATGTTTTGCAGAGGGGTCAAATACTTATTTCCCTCATTAAAATGCAAATCAATTTATAAAATTTTTGACATGCATTCTTCTGGATTTTGTTGTTGTTATTCTGTCTCTCACTGTTCAAAAAGAAACCTACCATTAAAATTATAGACTGATCAGTGGGCAAACGTACAAAATCAGCAGGGGATCAAATACTTTTTTCCCTCACTGTATGTCCTAACTTGTGTTACTAGAATCATCTGCCGAGCGCCCCTTGTGCTCACGGGATCCTCGCAGCACGAGCGGCCGGGGGAGCTACTGGCACCGCCTCCGTGATTCACAGACGCAGCCCGCAGTAGTTTCACAGCATTGGAGGGGTGGAGTGGGAGGGGCGTGGGGCAATGTTGCTCTGTGGCTGAGCCAAATATTGTTGTTGAAATACCCGCAGGATGAATCAGTGCGGCCGCTGGAACGTGGAATCGAACCGCGAACTGCCGCGGTTAATTAGCGGCAAAGCGCGCTCACGGCTGGAGGCGATGTCACCGCCAAATGGCGATGATCACGGAAGAGCCCCGCGCCCTCCCTTTTCCCTGGGGGCGTCTCATCGCGAGACGATTGAAGGGCACCCCCAGTGGTAGCTGCCCGTATGGGAGGGAGGGGGGCGCAATTGTGGATGCGACGTGGGGCCCTACACGTAGCACGCCTGTAATCCCGCACTGTGCAGGCAGCGGGGGATGGTGGATCACACGAAAGTTATGAAACTCCCTTCCCGTGGGCGTCGAGGTGCCTGGCTTGATAGGGGAAAGTTGCACAGCAAGTGTGGACTAATCTCCATCTCTTCCATCTTGTGCGGCATAAAGTGTTTCCCCCTTGCCAGTGTGGGTTTCCTCCGGGTGCACCAGTTTCATCCTACGTGCACACACGTTCAGTAATTAATAGGCCGATAACACCTTCAGTCATATATCGAGGACCGCAGAGCTTGGGAAATTACTAGGACCTCACCGCGTAGCTGCTGCTGCTGCTGCCTTTCCGCTCGTCCTCCCCCTGGCGCCTCCTCTCTCGTCTGGGGCGATATGAGATGATGACGACGATGACGGTGACAGTCATTATGATAACGATGACGACTATGACGATGATGATGACAACGATTATGATGACGATGATGTCGACGATGATGATGACGACGACGATGTTGATGACGGCGATGATGATGATGATGATGTTGATGACAATGACGACATTGACGATGACGATGATGCCGACGATAACGATGACAATTACGCTGTGAGTACCTAAACGATGCGACGGCTCCACTCTGGCACCTGTCCGCGTGTCGCTGCCGCGGGTCTCGGCCGAGCGTGACTCTGACGGGCGGTGCCGCGGGCCAGGAACCCGGGCAACCGCTGGGCCCTGGAGCAGGCCAAGACGAACCTTCTGAGCGAGTATCTCCTCGTGGGTGTCACCGAGGAGCTGGAGGACTTCATCATGCTGCTCGAGGCCGCGCTCCCACGCTTCTTCAAGGGCGCCACGTCGCACTACCGCAGCGGTAACCTAGCCTGGCACCGCGCGAGCGTGCCGGGGAGCGCCGCGTTCGATTCGCGCTCGCAGCCACGAACGTCGGTGACGATTATCTCGACCAAGGGGATGGTGCCTCCCCTAACCTAGGTCGATCCGCGCCTCAAACGTTTGAGTGCCTGGTGCGACACGTAAAACATTTCCAGGGGGGAGGCAAAGGCGGCGGACAGGGCTGGGCCGGGCCGGGCCGGGCCGGGCGTGGTGCTGACCCCACGAAAACCTCTCCCGCCCCCCTACCCCTACGTGCGCAGGGAAGCGGTCGCACCTGCGACGCACCGTGGAGAAGAAGCCCCCAAGCAGGGAGTCGATCCAGCGGCTGCAGCAGTCGCGCGCGTGGCAGATGGAGAAGGAATTCTACGAGTTTGTGCTCGAGCAGTTTCAGTTCGTGCGCGCGCACGCGGTGCTTGAGCGCGGCGGGGAGCTCTTCCCGCTCGCGCAGAACTACTTCTACGAGAAGATCTACCCGCGCCACCGGTTCGTCGCGCCCACCACACCACCCCCACCAACCCCTCGTGTGGCCACGCCTCGTGCCATCCTCGCGCCTGCGTCCACCCATCCGACTCGTGCGGCCAAGCAGAGACGCGCCGAGTCTCGCGACACTTTGTCAAGGAGAGTCCTATCGTGGGACCTCTTTTGTTATTTTTTTACCAGCATCAAAGTATGATGCTGGAAATACAACAGGTGTTAAGATGCTAACGCACCAAATAGAAACCTTCTACAAGGAATTAACCACAAACAGTGCTTGTGGTGAAGATGCAAAGAAAACATGCTCTGATAATATATTGCATTGTCTCTGAAACTGATTGGCCTACACCAGAGACAGCCTTCTTCATGGGGTGAGGAGCTATATCATGAGTCCTGTCAAACTTTCGCAGGAGTAGAGGTGGGTGTGGGGTGGGGCAATGATCGCTACGTGGGATCCCGATTCAGTAATTTTTTGGGGTGCAATTCTTTCAAAGTGCCCCGTGACCCCAGCACAGCACGGGGGGGGGGGGGGCATCTCGAGCGGCTGCTGTGACCCGGGCGGGTGTAACTCTCCCGATGGATCCGCTCGCCAGATTTCCGATTGGATTCGTCGGTTCGTTTATATTTTGGTGACGTGACGACGATAGTACAATGGCGATGAAGTTGGGATTTAAAAAAAAAATTCAGGCTAAACCAGGATGCTGAATTTAGCAACCCAGGCTTACTTGGGGACTTACTTTAGTAACTTGATATTGCTTCAATAAGTCGAGCATTGCTTCGGCAAGTCGGGGTTGTTTTGGTAAGCCACGCTTCGATTTAGCAAGCCATGTTTGTTGTAGTTCGTCCGGGGCGCGCTTTAGTAAGTAAGTAATGCTTGCTTTAGTCGGTCGGGCTTTATTTGGCAAGCCAGGCTTTAGCAAGCCATGCTTTCCGCTGTAAGTCGGGCTTACAGCACACCTACTTCCACGTGTCTCCCCGTGTTTTGTCGTCACAGAGAATTCCACGGTGACAGAAGAAAAGCGGCGGTATTGCAGCAGCAGCAGCAGCAGCCACTGCCGCCGCTGCCGTAGAGAGAGGGCCTATCGCGGGCCAGGGGCCGCGGGGCGAGTAGACGGCCCTCGGGAGGCCCCCCGGAGGCCCACGACGGCGGCTCAGGTGGTGTGCTGGGGGGTGGGAGTTTGGCCCTCGAAGTGACCTCCACACCCCCCCCCCCCACCACGTCCTCAGGGCCAGGCGGTGGTTGTGCACTCCTCTCGTAGCTGGAAACCAAAAAAAAAACGTACAGAAGTGGGACATGAACAAAAAACGTATTGAAGATATATGTAGATACCGTGTATGTATATGGCGACGCTGGATGGATACGAATGCGAAGGACAGCGGTTGTATGAAGTGAGATGGGGGAAACAGACAGATGGCCAACGCCGGTTACAAGCGGCCCTTGGACATGTGTCGAGGAGCGTCCGCGCGCTACTCCTGGGGCCCCCCACCCCCTCCTAAAGCGCGCAATCACAAACAGACCCCATAACATTCATCCTTCGACCTATACCGGGCCACAACTACACAGATTCAACGCTGTTTATATACGTATACTGTATATATATAAAGACAGAAGGGAACAAACTATTACAACAACAACATCAACAACAACAACAACAACAAAAACAACAACAACAACATCAACAACAACAACATCAACAACAACAACAAAAACAACAACAACAGCAACAGCAACAACAACAGCAACAACAACAGCAACAACAACAACAACAGCAACAACAACAGCAACAACAACAACAAAAACAGCCTGCGGCGGAGTCTTCGTTTATAAGCCCCCGCCAACGTTCCAGCAACGTTCCAGCAACGTCCCGCCCTCTGTCTCTCACTCTCTCACACCCCCTCTTCTCCGACGTCTCGAGGGGACTGCTGTCCCACCGTGGCAGCTATTCGCGAATGCAGTAACCGCGTGTGGACCCCGCTGCGCCGTCTGCCCGGAGCTGTCCCTCCCGCGTCGCCATCGCCCCTCGTGGCTCCTTTCACCTCGGCGGAGGCGTCTTGCGTGGTGGTGGTGGTGCCCGGGCCGCTTTAGCCAAGGGCGGTCTGGCCGACGTGGAAGAGTCGGCCCCCGAATATAAATAAATAAATGTGCCCTCGAGTACAAAGGCACTCGACCTACGCAGTCAACCTGCACAATCAACCTCCAAGGTCAAGCTCCACAGTCAACCTTTACAGTCAACCTACACAGTCAACCTTTATCAAACTCCAAGGTTAACTTCCACAGTCAACCCACACAGTCAACCCACACAGTCAACTTACACTATTTTTAAACTAAACTATATATTTTATTTTACCAGGTAAGGCCCACTTGAGCTGTGTAGATGTTTATCAGAATCGACCCGGCCATCACAAATGATAGCCCAACGAAGTGGCTTATCATCATCATCGTCGTCGTCAAGTGGAAATGTGTAGCTGCCAAAATACTCTTAAACGCGTGACGTTGATTATAAATGTGGGTGGAAAAAACCAGAGGACCCGGAGAAAAATACACGCGACCACGGGGAGACAGAGAGAGAGAGAGAGACACGCAAACTCCAAATATACAGCAGCAGCAGCAGGCGTCAGGGTCGGGATCGAATCCACGACCTCCTGCATACCAGGCGGGGTCGATAAACAAAAAAAAACTTGGGCGGACCAATTCCCCGCAACCTTGTGGACAAAAGGCGTCTGCGCAGCAGCGTCGGGCGATCTGGGAGCCACTCTGACTCTCGGTGGAATCTCGAGACGGGTCCTGGGGCGTGAGAAGCAATTGCAGGGCTGCACCTTTAACTTTTGCTTCAGTTTAAATTTCCGTTCACTGCTGTTGTTTTGGCTTTTTTTTAATGCCGATGTGAGTTGTTCCGCGCATCATCTCGAGATCCTATTTTGTATTCCGGATCCTTTATATATTCGAACGTTATTATTGTAATTGTTCTTATGCTTGCGGTAGACAGGGTAAAGGCTTTATTCTCACGAATGAGTACCCCCGCCCGCCCGCCTCTCCCCACTGGCTCCGTGTCACCGCAGTCATCGTGGTGACAATGAGCTCCGCTGGCATTGCCCCCTCTCGCTGTCTTTCACATCCCGATAAACGCTCGGCAGCCAGCGGCGCATCTGTAGCCCGAGGCAGTATATCTCACGGGCATTCGCGTGGGAAGCATGAGCCGGCCCTGTGTTCTTCGTATCGGCTCGGCTCAGGATTGGCTCTGGCTCAAGTGAGCCGACTCGAAGCCCACGCTTCACTGGAGCCGGCTCTGAGACGGACCCCCCAGCCACGCTCAAGATTTCCATGGAGCTGAGGCTCAGCCAGGCCACATTGAGCCTGAGTGTCAGAGGCCGAGTCCAGAGCCCTGACCAAGAACACGGTCCTAGCCGGCAGCCCAGGGAGGGATCCGTACAAGAGGACATCCACAGTGGAGACGGAGCGATTAAATCATATTGTGCGCTAGTTGCATTGTGACACCAATTGTAGCGTTGTAAAGACGAGTAAATTTCTTAGGAGGCACACTCTGTTTATTGTAACTGTTCCTTACACAATCCTTAACACACACAGAGGGATATTCGGTCCCCTCACCCGATACCCTAGGGAGGTACAGCTTCCTAGCTTGGCGGGACTTGCACGTCTACCGCTAACCTCCTTGATACCTAAGGAGGTACAGCCTCCGGACTTGGCGGGACTTACACGTCTACCGCTATCCTAGCCTAGAGTCCTCCGGCTTGGACCTAGGGGAGGCTATCTGACCCACCGCTGGCCCTGTGGGTCCTGACCACTGGGTATGCCAAGCCTTAGCCCTCAAAAGGGCTGGAAGGCTGGTCCAGGGTCCTAGCTAGTCTTCAGCCGGGGCTTCGGTCTTCGTGTCGGGAGAGAACTCCCTGAGATCTGTTGGGTCACCCTTCTTATACCCGTTCGTGGCCAGGAATAACCAATCACACATTCCCACGTGGAACTGGCTGATTGGTTCTCCCTAAACTGTGGCTACGATCCACTTCACCTCGTCTGACCCCAACCGTTATGTACCCCGAGGTAACGCTGCACCGCCCCCTTGATACCTGGTGGCAATGCAGGTTACCGAACAGTGCGTGGTTAACACCTCTACACATCGTAGGACCGTGAGAGATGGTGACGACATGAGCAGGTGAGCAGGTCTTCATCCAGAAGTGGATTGTTCACGGCCGCTGATGATGCTTGTTGGAAGTTGGAGGTGGCCTCGTGACCTATACTGGGTCAGATCGCCGAACCGGCACCGCTGAGGCCCTGAGTTCGAATACAACGACTAATCACCTCCTTAAACACCCCCATTCGCCCACTCTCCTTGAGCTCCTCCCGCAACCAATCCCTGCCTCCCCCCCCCCCAGCACACGGTGATTATTTTTTGTATTATTCCATCAGTGTGAGCAGGTGCTGTGATATTGTCAGTCGAGATCGAACAAAGCACTCTAATTCGGACGATACAAATTGGGTCAGGCCAGCCCGACATAGCCACACGCATGCACGGCATCGTGCAGAGGAAGAGATCTCAGATGAGGATAATCACCATCGTCATCATCATAAGCAACAGCATCATCATCAAACAGTTCCACCTGCCAAGGCTGTCCCAGCTCAGCAAGCCTATTATCGTTTCTCCAGGGTCATTAAAATATGTACCATTTTGTGGGACGCCCACCCCGGTGGTTGTCCTGTGGTCATACTGGCCCCTGGCATGGGAATGTGGAAATCAGACCACTGGCTCAGTGCCGCCTAAGGCGATGACCACCGCTCATTTCGGCGATACAAGAATAGGAATATCACAAGAATTGAACTTTGAATTTGGATTCGTTTGAATGCTGCCGTGGTTGAATGGTTTACCCCCACTGGCGATCCAAGGCACGCGCGAATCGTGCGCGCTGGGGAGTCGTACAAACGTCAGCCGTGGGTCAATCCACTGCTGGATGAAGGTGGCATCTGCGTGCTGGACGCATCACGGGGTGGGGGGGCTTTGAAATTGGTGACGGACGTGCAGATGCGTGGAGCCTTTGCTATAAACTGTTGGTTTCTTTCGGAATTTCTCACTTCTTATTTTAGTGAGGTGTCTGTCATTGGCTCTCACTGTGCGTCAATACATGTGTTGATAGCCGTGTGTTTTTTTTTTATACACACAACACGCAGACTTGAACACACAAGGTGTGTACACACGTATATATATGTACCTTCAAAATGATTCTAAAGATGCACTAATATGAATTGTTAATGTTGGGCATTCGCGCTCTGTATTAAAACGTGACTTCTCTTCGCTGTGCGTAAACTCAGAGGCGTCGGGGCTTCTGTGTGCATCTCTTCATCACGTGCTCCGTGCCACCCGTGCGGAGCGGTGGCGCAGCGGTTAGCGCACTGCGCCAGGAAAAACCGGCCACCCGATTTAGACTCCCGCTCACGACCACTAGCCGTGACGATAATCTGAACCGGTCCTGGGCCTCTCCTAGGTCGACTCGGCATCAACGAGTACCTGGTGCTGTGTGTAAACATCACCAGTGGGGAGACGAAGGCGGCCGGGCGTGGTGCTCGCCACCCCGCCCCATCGTCTGCCGTGCCGGCCTTCGTAGGTGCTACTCGCTCACAGCACTTGCCCAAAAAGTATGTTAAATCTATACGGGGGGTCTTTGTCTTTAGTTTCAATGTGACCACATCATTCATCAGGCAACGCAATCTGACCCCCGTGCATATCAGCTTCTGGTCTGCGCTAGCTTGTAGCCAGCAGCTTGCGGTGCAGCAACATCAATAGTTGTACTGTCCTTCTATGCCCCCCCCCCCCGAGTCTATGCTCGGCGCCTTCGCACTGACCATCGTGGTGAAGTATGGTCAAATAGCCTCCGTGGGAAAGACCACATCCAGCAGTTTGATTGACACGCGGAGCTCAAAATACAGGGGCTGCATGTCTCACTTTGTAAGTTCCGGGACGCTGCTGAGCTGGCTGAGAGTCGGGGTTGCCGGCGTAAGGCACTACAACTAGAGTACAAGGTAAACCTATTATACATCATCCTGTTTGATGCTCCTGTGTGTCCTTGCAATCACACAAAGGGGCTCAGGCGACTACGGCGAGGTGACGTGCAAACTCCATTGCTGAACGAGCGGGCCGGACTTCAGCGGCGTTCACACGCCGCTTGCCGTGGCGTGCGCAGTGGCATGAGGGAGTCGTGAGGGAGCCGTGAGAGAGCCGTGAGAGAGCCGTAAGAGAGCCGTGAGAGAGCCGTGCGGGAGCCGTGAGAGAGCCGTGAGGGAGCCGTGAGAGAGCCGTGAGGGAGCCGTGAGAGAGCCGTGAGAGAGCCGTGGGGAGAGCCGTGAGGGAGCCGTGAGAGAGCCGTGAGAGAGCCGTGAGAGAGCCGTGAGGGAGCCGTGAGAGAGCTGTGAGAGAGCCGTGAGAGAGCCGTGATAGAGCCGTGGGAGAGCCGTGGGAGAGCCGTGAGGGAGCCGTGAGAGAGCCGTGATAGAGCCGTGAGGGAGCCGTGAGAGAGCCGTGAGGGAGCCGTGAGAGAGCCGTGAGGGAGCCGTGATAGAGCCGTGAGAGAGCCGTGAGAGAGTCGTGAGGGAGTCGTGAGGGAGTCGTGAGGGAGTCGTGAGGGAGCCGTGAGAGAGCCGTGAGAGAGCCGTGAGAGAGCCGTGCGGGAGCCGTGAGAGAGCCGT